AGATGATACAGGAATTTTGTTTTGTTGGCCCGACACTCTGAAAGTGCTTTTGTCAGGGACCATGACTTCTAATGTGGTGAACAATTCCAATGTGTTGCACTACTGCAAACAAAACAAAATACAGTCTCTCTTCATTGTGCATACTTGTTCCATTCCTAGAAAAGTGTATTAAAATGGTACAAAGAAAACTTTTGAATTTCCATAATTTCAAGTTGATTCTAGGCTCAAATATCGATAAGCAGGATGTGGGACAATTCTTTGTTGTGTGTGTTCATCTCACACATTGTAGGGTGTGTAGCACCAGTGCTCTCAGCTCCTTACATGCTGCTAGCACCCTGTTCTCCATCATGACAACCAAAACGCCAAACCAATTGCCGTCCAGGAAGTCCTGACTCATGGTGACCACATGTGTGTCAGAGGAGACATGTGCTCCATAGGATTTTCAAAAGCTAATTTTTCAAAAGTAGATCGCTCAGCCTTTCTCTTGAGGCACCCCTGGGCGGAGTCAAACCACTAACCTCTTGGTTAGCAGCCAAGCATGTAAACCATTTGTACCACCCAGGGACTCCAACAAAACACCAAAAAGAAAAACAAAGACACAAACTCGTTGCCATCAGGTCAATACCAACTCATGACAATCCCAAGTGCTACGGAATAGAACTGTTCAGTAGGCTTTTCTTGGCTATAATCTTTATGGAAACTGATCTCCAGGCCTTTCTTCTGAGGCTCAAACCCCCAACATTTACATTAGGTTGTTATTGTTGTTATGTGCCGTCAAGTCGGCCCCGACTCATAGCAACCCCTCCTTGGGTTGCCAAGGCAGTATCACTATGGAAGTAGATTGCCCAGCCTTCCTTCCAAGGAGTGGCTGGTGAGTTTGAACCACCAGCCTTCTGGTTAGCAGTCAAGTGCCTTAGGCACTAGAGCATAAACCATTACCTTGTAAATTTCCCAATCACCCTCTAGAGGGCAGTGCCACTGCCACTGAGAGCCTCTGAGTGTCATCAGAGTAAATCAGAAAGAAAAACAAAGTTGCTGAATTCTTAGTCTGTTGATAGGTTCAAGTCACTAGATTATTATGTGAGAGGTAATACAAAGTAAGTCCCAAGTTTAAAATGTGAGAACCAGTGCCTCCTCACCTGTCTTATTTCAGTGTAGTTGAGCTAATGGGACAATATAGACAACAACCTCTACAATTTTAAATCTCTAAAATTGTAATGACAGTAACAGAAATAATGCAGAGTAATAACAGTTCTGTTCTGTCCAAGGGAGTCACTGTGAGTTGAAATCAACTCACGGACAGTGGGTTTGGTTTTGGTACTACCAACTAGCCATCATTCATTGCGTGACTCAGTTATCAAGCAAGATATTAGGTCCTTTATAGGCTCTAGGTCTTGTTCAAATTGTAATACTAGTTACTGACAATGACTGAATGTTTAATGTGTGCCAGGTACAGTGCTCAACACCTTAACTCGGTAATCTCAATTGATTTTACAGATAAGGACATTAGTGCCTTAGAGGTGAAAAAGTTCTCCTTAATTTATAAATAACAAGTGGTTATTTTAAGTTTTACCTTGGCCTCTAAGACTCCAAAATCCTTATTAGAAAGAAAAGAAAGAAAGCATATGTATTTCAATACATAAATGTTTGAAAACACCTCCTCTAGAAGACATAGCAAACTTGGATTTGGGAAGTAAGATATTCATTATTCAACCATATTTAGTACACAATTTTGTTATATAGATGACTTTTTAAAAAATGTTTTATTGTGATTTGAGTGAAAGTTTACAGAGCAAATTGCATTTCCATTCAGCAATTCATACACATTTTGTTTTGTGACATTGATTGCAGTTCCCACAATGTAACATCACTCTTCCTACTTCTTCCCTGTTTCCTATTTGCATTTGTCCTTTCCTGTTCCTTCCTGCCTTCTGAGTTTTATCTCTGGGCAAAAGCTGCTCTTTTGATTTTATATGGTTGATTTTTCTAAGGAGTATATACCCCTCTACTGTTACTGTTCATGTTATAGGCCATAGGGGTGAGTTCAGTTCCAGGCTTGAAGACTGACTAAGAGCCACAGTCTCAGGGGTTCCCCTAGTCTCTGTCAGACCAGTGAGCATGGCCTTTTATGATTTGGAATTTTGTTCCACATCTTTCTCCCACTCCATCCAGGACCTTCTAATGTGGTCTTTTTCAGAGCAGTCAGTAGCGGTGGCCAAGAGCCATTTAGTTCCTCTGGTCTCAGGGTGGTGGAAGCTGAGGTTCACATGGTCCATTAGCCTTTTACACTATTTGTTTCTGTGCATCTTATTAGTATTCACTCTTCTTTGCTTCAGATGGAGAGAGACCAATAGTTGCACCTTAGACGGCTACTGGCTAGCTTTTAAGACCCCAGTCACTATTCAAAACAGTAGGATATAGAACTTTGTCTTTGTAAACTATACTAGCCAGTTGAGTTAGCTGTCCCCCAAGACTGTGGTCCTAAGCCCACAAACCCAGTGATTTATTACCTCTGGTGTTTGGTTATGTCTAAGAAGTTTTCATAACTTGGCCCTCTGATTCTTCTACTATATGCATGGATATATTTGTAGCACATAAAAGTACATACACTCTGGCGACCCTATATATAGTTGTGGGTGTAGTAAGACAGCTTTCCTGTCTGACTGTGTATCCACCTATACATTAATATTTTTTATTACTGATATTGCATGATTGTGTATGTAATAGTATTTTCCTTCATTGTTTATAACTCTTGTTTACCTCTCCATGTCTTCCTTTGCTTAGTGATAGTATGCTGATCATCCCCTTATTGCCTTTCCCGTCACACAAACTGACACTTGTTTATAAGTTGGAATCAACTTGATGACAGTGGGTTTTGGTTTGGATTATCAAATTAGTATGTTTCCTTCTCCTACCATCCCATCCCTGATAACCATCAAAGAATATTTATTTCTCTGTGTAAACCTTTCCTTAACTTTTTATAACAGTGGACTCATACAGCATTTGGCCTTTTGTAATGAATTTATTTCACTCAGTGTGATGTCCTCCAGGTTCATCCACATTTTGAGATGTTTTGCAGATTTTTTGTTTTTCTTTAACATTGCATAGTATTCCATTATGTATATGTACTGTAGTTTGGTTATCCATTTATCTCTTGGTGGGCACTTAGGTTATTACCATCTCTTTTGTTATTGTGAATAATGCTGAAATGAAGATGGATATGCACCTATCTGTTCATGTCATGGCTCTTACTTCTTTAGGATATGTACCTAGTAGTGGATCGAATAATATTTCTCTTTCAAACCTTTTAAGGAAACTCCATACCGTTTCCCACACAGTTTACCAATTTACAGTTCCACCTTCAGTGTATGAGAGTTCTAATCTCTCCACATGCTCACCTGCATTTATTGTTTTCTGTCTTAGGGAACTTTCTTACTATTACTGGGGTATGATAATATCTCATTGTTGTTTAGATTAGCATCTCTCCAGTAGCAAAAGATCACAAACATTTCTTCATGTATTTGTTGGCTGCCTCAATGTCTTCTTTGATTGAGTGTATGTTCATGTCTTGTGCCCATTTTTTAATTGGGTTGTTTGTCTTTCTGTTGTTGAGGTGTTGACATTTTCTATAAATTTTGGAGATCAGTCCCTTGTCAGATATGTTGTTGCCAACTATTTTTTCACAATCTGTCAGTTCTCTTTTCACTCTTTGGGAGAAGTCTTTTGATGTGCATAAGTATTGAAATTTTAGTAGGTCCCAGTTGTCTAGTTTATCTTCTGCTGTTTGTGCTTTTTTGGTTATGTGTGTTAGTCTATTTATGCCATAAATTAGGGCCCCTAACTTAGTCTCTATTTTTTTCTTTGATGATCTTTTTAGTTTTAGGTTTTACATTTAGGTCTTTGATCTATCATGAGTTAGTTTTTGTATATAGTGTGTAGTACAGATCTTGTTTAATTTTTCTGCAAATGGATAACCACCTTTGCAAGCACCATTTATGAAATAGATTGTCTCTTCCCCATTTAATGGCTTTCCGCCCTTTGTCAAGGACCAGCTATCCGTCGTTGGATGGATTTACTTCTGATTTCTCAATTCTGTTCCATTGGTCTATGTGTCTATCAATGTACCAGTATCAGGCTGTTTGACTACTGTGGCTGTATACTATGTTTTGAGATTGTGAAATATGAAGTTCCCTACTTTGTTCTTCTTCAGTAGTGCTTTGCTAATCCATGGTCTGTTTCCTTGCCATATAAAGTTAATGATTAGTTTTTCCATCTCATTAAGGAGTGCTGATGCCATCTGGATCAGGATTGCATGAACTCCCAGATTCTGACTCTTACTCACTTTGCACAGTACCTCAGTGCTGAAAAGGAAAATATTATAACCTGGCTTTGCAACAAAGAGACTGAATCTTAGAAAACTTAACCAGGGGTGAATACTGTAAGCCTAGCAAGAAGGAGGGGAAGATTCATACCTAGGACTGCCTGATTTCCAGTCCTCTACCCTTCCCACTGACAACCCTATTGATCTCAGAAGCCTTTACCACTATGGGAATAGTATTATGATACCACCACCACCAGTCCAGATATCTGCATGGTTTGCTCTCTCACTGCATTGCAGTTTCAGCTTATAAATCATCTCCTCAGAGGGTGTCACCCACCACTTTTCCCAGCCCCTCCCCAAAACTATCTAAAATAACATCTGAGCTCTCTCTGACTCTGCCTCCTACCTAGCCAGCCACTTTTTATTTTTCTTCATTTCACTTAGCCTGACCTTTTATTTATATCTATTTTGTTTTCTGTTTGTTTTCTGTCTCCTCCTCCCCCCCACTAGAAGTTAGACTTCATAAGGGCAAGAATGTGTGTCTTACTCACTTTTCCATCCCCAGTCCATAGCACACAGCCTAGCACTTAGAATGTATGCAATACATTTTTGTCCGATCATTTGAATCAATGAATCATTCTTTCCCAGGACGCCTGACCCTTCTTTTTTGCCCTTTCAGGTTATGTTGCAATGGGCGCCGTCCTCCCATCCTTCTGGGGCCAGCAGCCCCTCGTCCAACAGCAGATCGCCATGGGTGCTCAGCCACCAGTCGCTCAGGTGATGCCGGGGGCTCAGCCCATTGCGTGGGGCCAGCCAGGGCTCTTCCCTGCCACTCAGCAGCCCTGGCCAGCTGTTGCTGGGCAGTTTCCGCCAGCCGCCTTTATGCCCACACAAACTGTTATGCCTTTGCCAGCTGCCATGTTCCAAGGTCCCCTCACCCCCCTTGCAACCGTCTCAGCCACGAGTGACTCCACCAGGTCAAGTCCACAGACCGACAAGCCCAGACAGAAAATGGGGAAAGAAATGTTTAAGGATTTCCAGATGGCGCAGCCTCCACCCGTGCCCTCCCGCAAACCCGACCAACCCTCCCTCACCTGTACCTCAGAGGCCTTCTCCAGTTACTTCAGCAAAGTCGGAGTGGCACAGGATACAGACGACTGTGATGACTTTGACATCTCCCAGTTGAATTTGACCCCTGTGACTTCTACCACACCATCAACCAATTCACGTGAGTTGCCTTTTGTTCAATACATAAAACCCAAAAGAGTATGATGCCTGGTGTCTGGAGTCATAAAACTCATCGCAGTTACATTCAACTGCTACTACTAATAGAAGCACCAGGTATTATCAGATTGGTTCCAAGTCCTGGCTACCCCATGTATGTCAGAGTAGAACTGTGCTCTGTAAGGTTTTCAGTGGCTGATTTTTGAGGAATAGATTTCCAGGCCTTTCTTTCAGTACCTCTGGGTGGACTTAAACCTCTAAGCTTTGGGGGAGCAACTGAGGTATTAACTGTTTGCACCACCCTAGAACACTACTCATAATTAATACTAGTAATAACACCAACAATTAGGTAACAGTCATGACATAGTACCTTCTCCATGTGCTTTATATTTTTCATTTTAATACTCATAACAATGCTTATGACAAGTTTTGTTAGATCTCCTTTAAAGAGAAGGAAAATGAAGTCTGAAGTCAAAGACAATAAAAGAGGTAGAACTGAATATAAATCTGTTATTTTCCACTGTACCCTGCTGCCCCTTAGGTTTTTGTTTGTTTACGCATTCATTCATTCATTATCCTAGCATATGACATACAGATTTTAATATGGTTTATTGAAATTAAAATGAATGGTGGATACACATTTAAAATTTTCTAAGAATTGATAAAAATTTAGAATAGAAACTTAAGGTCAGGAAGAAACTAAGGGAAGAGGTACAGCAGCCATAAGATTGGATACAGCTGCTGTAGTTGAAGCCAGATTTTGGCACAAAGCTTCTGGTAGTCAGTGAGGAAAACTGGTGTAATGAAAAGTTCTGTACTGATAACTGGAGATCAGCATAATTACTTACTAGTCGTGTGCCTTTGGACAAGTCATTTTAATGCTATTAACCTTTATCTAAAGCTAAAGAGTTCCTCGGTGGTATAAACAGTTAAGTGTTCAACCTTTATTTGAAAGATTGGTGATTTAGATCTACTCAGAATTATCTCAGAAGAAAGGCCTGATGATCTACTTCCCAAAAATTAAAGCCACTGAAAACTCTATGGAGTGCAGTTCTACTCTTAAATACATGGAGGCAGCTATGAGTAGGAGTAGACTTGATAGCAACTGGTTTTACGGCTAAGGTTAAGGGTTATTGAGGAGCTCAGGTAGCATAGTGCCTAAGGCATTTGACTGCTAACCAGAAGGCTGCCATTTCAAACCCACCAGCCACTCCTCAGAAGGAAGGTTGGGCAATCTAATTTCATAGTGATACCACTTCGGAAACCCAAGGAGGGGTCACCAGGAGTCAGGTCTGACTCAATGGCACATAACAACAACAACAACAAGGGTTATTGCAAGAAGTTAGTGATATGTGTACTAAAATACTATATACCTTTCAAAGTTTAAATGTTATTGTCATCATTACCATCACATATTAAGTGGTTTTGTGCAGAGTCCCAGACCAGGGTTCTGGTCTTGACTCCTTTACCCAAGCTGTGTCTTCAAGCAAGCATATGACTTCATTGAGGCTCAGTTGTATCATCAGTATGTGAATTGACTTGGATGAGCAGTGTGCCTTCTTCTAGAGCCAACATTCAATGGTGGTTCTACTGTAAATCATATTTTTACTGCAAAATTTCTGGAAAAACAGCACCCAAATTAGAATCCATATACCTTTAAGCATGTGTATGTTTGGTTGACATGATTGTGAGGTTTTCTGATGACTCAACCTGTGCCTTGACAATTGATAAGGGGAAAGAAAAGGCCCATGGTACAGTGAGTTTGGCGTTTTCATTACTGTCACAGAAGCTACGGATCACTGCACGGCCAATACCATAATTGTCAAAAAAAAAAAAAAAATCTAATGTTAACACAATTAGATTGTATCATTTCAGCCAGGTTTGGAATGCTCTTCTGAAAATGAATTTCTTCTACATACATAAACAACCTTTCTTTCACTCAGGCCATATGATCCACATAGCAGGGCATTTCTATTAACTCTGCCTCACAGAGTTTCAGTGGAAAATAATGAATAGAAAATGAAATGCTAAAGAAATGATGCCCATGCATAAAAAAGCATCTTTCAGATACTAACGCCTATCATTCAATGAGCTTGTGTGCCATCTACAACTAAAAGGGGGACATACAAGCCCTTTGAGGACAGGGAACATGTCTTAATCATTCTTATACCTCTCAAAATGCTAACATAGTGCCTAGCACATGGAGGCATTTGGAAAAGGGTATAACGAGTGGAATGAACTGTTGTTGTTGTTGTTGTTATGTGCCGCTGAGTCAGACCCAACTCATGGTGACCCCTCCTTGAGTTTCCGAGACGGTATCACTACAGAAGTAGATTGGCAACCTTCCTTCCGAAGAGTGGCTGGTGGGTTTGAACCGCCAGCCTTCTGGTTAGCAGTCAAGTGCCTTAGGCACTACACCACCAGAGCTAAGCAAAGGCAATTCAGTTATTGCTGGGCTTTAGATTGAGGTTTCATAACTTTGACACTATGACATTTTGGGCCAGATTTTTTTTTTTAATTGTGATTTGGGTGAAAGTTTACAGAGCAAATTCACTTTTCGTACAGCAGCTCACATATACTTTGTCTCATGACATTGACTGCAATCTCCCATAGTGCAACAGCTCCCCTCCCACTTCCTCCCCACAGTTACCTCTTCCCTGTGTCCTTCTCTCCCATGCACTCCTGCCCCTTGAGCTGTCTCCCTGTGCATACACAGCCCTTCTATTCTCCCATGATTGTTCTCTCCAAGGAATGTATCTACCTAATGTAAATGTTCACCTCATATGCCTGTCTTTTGTTAGGCTGGAAGCCACAGGAGTGGCTTCAATTCCAGACCTGACAGGCAGCTAGGGGCCATAGTCTCAGTGGTTTCATCAGGCTCTATCAGACCAGCAAACCTGGTCCTTTTTTAAAAAAAAAAAAATGATTTTGAGTTTTATTACACATTGTTCTCCTACTCTATCCAGGCTCTCCTACATAGATCCCCCTCCAAGTGGCTGACAGTGGTAGCTGGGCACCATCTAGTTCTTCTGGTCTCATAGTCATATAGGCTGAGGATTGCATGGTGTACCAGTCATTTGGACTATTGTTTGTTTATTTGTTTTTTTTTTAAATTGAGGAGGATGTCCTGTGCATTGTCGAATGTTTAGCAGTAACCCTTACCCCTACCCTTTAGATGCCAGTATCACCCCCCCCCCCACAACACAGTTGTGAAATATCTCCAGATATTATCACATGTCCCCTGGGGGAGAAATCACCCAGATTGAGATCCACCACTTTAAAGTGTAGAGATGTTCTATAAAACCTACTGAAGATTAAGATGCTTTCATAAACAGACTCACTCATTACGCCTCCCATTGAGTTAATCGCATAAATCTGAGCAGTGTACTGTCAGAATTGGCTGCTCAGCCTGGGTTCATGGACCTTAATAAGCAATAAGCCTCTTCAAACACAACTCAGAATGCACTTAAGCTAGCATTTATTAAACACCTACCCAATCTCAGGGTGTTTTCAGATAGATTATCTCATTTAAATCCACTATAACAAATTTGTTCCATAATCATCTTATGAAACAAAAAAAGACTTCCTCTCAAATTTACAAAAGAAACAATGCAAAATATAAAAATAAAATAAAAAATTTAAAGAAAAATGTATGAAATCAGTCTTTATTGTCCTCTTACCTGTTATTAGTGGAGTCCCTGAGTGGCACAGACTATTTCGTGCTCAGCTGCGAACTGAGGGGTTGGCAGTTACTTTGAACCCACCCAAATATGCCTCAGAAGAAAGTCCTGACAATCTGCTTCTGAAAGGTCACACCCTTGAAAACCCCAGGAAGCAGTTCTGTTCTACACACACAGGGTCACCATGTGTCAGAATCAACTTGCTGGCAACTGATTAGATTTTTGGCTGTATCCATTATTACACCTTTCAGAATGTTTTGAGTGGAAGATTGGTTAGACCAAATGAGTCTCAAACAGAAATAGAAAAGCACAGTTGTATTGGAAAATGTCAGACAGATCTGGATTAAAGCCCAGTGCTGCTATTTCCTAACTGTTAAACTCTGAGCAAGTCACTTCACCTCTCTGAGCTGCAGTGTTTTCATTTGTAGGGGAAAAAAATAAATAAATAAATAAATAAATAAATAATATATATATATATATATATATATATATACATACATACATACATATACACATATAGGAGCTCTGGTGGCATAATACCTAAGGCATTTGACTGCTAACCAAAAGGCTGGCAGTTCTAACCCACTCCTCAGAAGGAAGACTGGACAATCTACTTCCGTAGTGATACCGCCTCGGAAACCCAAGGAGGGGTTGCTATGAGTCAGAGCGGACTGGACGGCAGTGACTTTGGTTTTTTGGTTTTTGTTGTTGGCGTGTGTGTGTGTGTACACATAATTGTATATTTTATATAGATGCATATACAGACTACAAAAACGGCAAGGAGGCCACATGTTCTGACCTCCTCTAATCTCACAAGTGGAAGACAGGATTACCAGCAGTAACCCAAGGCCTATTACTGCAAGGCCAAACATGCTGCCTCCCTCCAGCCCTTTCACCAACCCTTCCTCCCAAAGCACCCACCACCTCTCTCCTGGGTTCAATAATTCACTGCAGTGGCCACACACAACTCACAGATTACAGGGTTTATT